CCAGCCTGGTCTACAGAGCAAGTTCCAGGACAGGTTCCAAAGCTACAGAGAGAAACCCTGTTTTTTTTTTTTTTTTTTTTTTTTTTTTGGGGGGGGGCGGAGAAGAGTTCAGCATGCCTATGCCTCCAAAATGCTGGGATTAAAAAAATGGGCCACCACACCTGGCATCTTTCTTTTGTCTATGAGTGTTTGTGTGCATGGATGTATTTGCTCCACATGCATGCCTAGTACCCAGGGAGGTCAGAAAAGGGCCCGGAACTGGAGCCCCAGTCCACTAAGAGAAGTAAGTGCTCGAGACTACTGAGCATTGCTCCAGGCCCCTAGCAACTTCTTTTACTTGGGTTCTGGGGACTGAACTCAGGCCTTCATGCTTACATACTTTAAAGGCAGAGCTGTCTCTCCCTCCCACTGTTTGTTTGTTAAGATAGGGTCTCACTGCAGCTCAGAATGGTGTCCAATATGACAACCACCTGCCTCAGCCTCCTGAGTATAAGGATTACAGGCATGAGCCACCACCCCCAGCCATTCCCAACTATTTAAAATCAAGGAATGGAAAAGCTCATGTGTCATCCTTAAGTACGGTTAAGCCTTCATCTATAAATGAGTAACACATTTCTGCACCTGGTATAGTATTGCCATTTAGTAGCATCTAAAGGTTTAACTAGATTGCTTCACAATGGAGGATGAATCACAGGAGTCTAGGGGCCTCCTCCAATAGACTCTTGACAAAAGAACCACAGATAACCTCGAAGCCCCCTTTCAGCTCCTATGACTACTTGACTCCTACCAAGTTAATGCCATCTTTCTCTAACTCATCCCCACTCCAACTCTCTGTTCCTGTGCATGCTAAGCCAAATGCTCTTCCACTGAACTACACCCCTATTTTTTTTTGGGGGGGGGAGGGTGTCTCTGTGTAACAGCCCTAGCTGTCCTGGAACTCAATCTGTAGACCAGGCTGGCCTCAAACTCACAGAGATCCACCTGCCTCTGCCTCCAGAGTGCTGGGATCAAAGGTGTGCGCCACCAGCACCTGGCTTCATTTTTTTCTTTTCTTTTGGAGACAGTCTAAAACTATAGCCAAGGTCAGCCTCCAATTTGTGGATAATCCTCCTGCCTCTGCCTCCCAAGTACTGGGATTAGCATGAGCCACCATACCAGGCTCTTCATTTTTTCTTGATCAGGGTAAAGTGAACATGACAGATGGAACTACAGGATGAACAGTACACTGGTGCTTCAGTGAGTTCTTAAACAGGTGTTTAGCTACTTGGCTGACACCTGGAACCCTAGCTAAGACAAGTGGGCTGCTATGAATTTAAGGCCACCGAACAGCCAGGTGGATCTTTGTGAATTCGAGGCCAACCTGGTCTACGGAGTGAGATGAGAAACCCTGTCTCGAAAAACCAAAATAAATAAATAAACAAATAAGTAAAATAAAATGTTGTTTCTCCTGATTTACAATTTAAAAAAAAAAAGGCCACTGAAGTCTATGAAGTGAGGTCTAGGTCAGCCTGGGCTACAGAATATGGCCATGTCTCAAAAAAAAAAAAAAATGTAGTTCACATTTTGAATTAAGAACTCTAATGGGGGATGGGGATAAAGCTCAGTTGGAAGTATGATTGCCTAGAATGCACAAAGCTCTGGGTTCAATCCCCAATACCACATAAATTGTATATGACGGTACACTCCTGTAATTTTAGCACTCAGAAGTACAGGCAGGATGACCAGGAGCTCAAAGGTCATTCCTGGCTACAAAGAGTTCCAGGCCAGCAGGGCTCCAGGAAACCCTGTCTTAATCTTAAATCACAATTGAAGCAGTGGTGTACACCTGGGAACATTTGAGGGGCTCAAACAGATGGCTCCAGGCCAACTTGGGCTAAACAGAGACCCTGTCTGAAAAAACCAAGCAAACCACCACAATAACAACAACAGTAACAAAACCCTGAAGACAGACCCATTCGGAGGCCAGCAATACAGCTCACCGGGTACAGGCCTTGCTGCCAAGCCTGACAACAGGAGTTCTCACCCTAGGAACACAGGTGATGGAAAAACTGACTCTCACAAATTCTGACCTCCACATGTGTGCATGAACACACACAAAGAAAGTAAATAATATTGGGTGTGGCGGCACATGCCTATAATCCAAGAACTTGGGAAGTGGAGGAAGGAAGTTCAAGGCCAGCTTAAACTACACAAGGAGTTCGGGGTCAGTCTGGGCTATCTGAAACTGTTTCGAAAGTCCAAGGGGAAAAACAGCCTGGTATAGAAGCTCACACCTGTAATTCCAGCACTAATGTAGCTGAGGCAGGAGGAATACCCTGAGTTTGAGTCCAGTCTGGGCTAGAGTAAGACATCTCACAAAAACAAAAGAACGATAGTTTTTGTTTGTGAGGGAGCTGTAAGATTTTTTTTTCTTCAAAGCATCTGAGGGACGCAGGGAGAAATTAGTTTCAACTATGAAGTCATCACATAAGACTATTTTATTTTGAAATGAGTCTCACAATGTAGCCCTGGCAGGCCTGGAACTCTCTATGTAGACCAGGCTGGCCTCGAATTTGTAAGAGATCCACCACACCCAGTCAGAAAGACTTTTTTATTAATACAGGGAGCAGTTCTTCAACTTGGAAGAAACTTGCATGGGTCCCACTGTTAAAGCAAAGGCCTAGGAATGAGACCTTCTATAACTAGCAGTAAAATTCGATACAGGGAGCCCACAGATACCAATGGCTAGTTAACCACCTACTCCAGAGCCTACCTGGACACAATTTTAACTGACAGCTGAACTACAAAACTATCATTTGAAGGTGTAGCCTGGAAAGCGCTAGGAATCTGTGAGTCAGTAAGAGAACATCACATCAAATGCCAGCCGTTGAAACCCTGGCACTGCTATAATTTTAAGTTTATTCTTTCAAAGAAATGTCTCCCCTAAATCCTATATATCATACATAAAGTAGATCAAAACTGCCCTTTCTATTTAAGTACCTTCTACATCTACAGGACATATGTATGGCTCTAGTAACAACGGAACATTGGCACAGAAAATCCTCTTTAGTTTGTGGAACAAGACTGTCAACGGGACATTGTGTAGGCTTACAGAGATCACACTGGAATTAGCTCGCTTTTCCCTTGGAGCATAGCTATTTCGCCCATAAGTTTACAGCTCGGATTTCAAAACGCAAACAGATGTCTTTGAAGCATCCGAAATGGGCCACTCCATTTCTATTACTGGACCGTGGTGACTCTGAATTCTTTTCTGTTCCAACCCTGCAAAGGGCAGAACCCCATCCATCCCTTTGTTGTAAAATTCTGAAGTGGGGCAGCACACTTTAGGAGTTTCCAAAAGTGGCTAGTGACGTTCGAGATCAGGCCATCGGGGGAGTAAGGGGCTCGATGGGAGAAAGCTTGAGGGCAAGAGAGCTCAAGAGATTTCCAGGCACTGAGCTCGAGCCTTCCACGTGCCCGGATCTAGCTGGTCCCCGGGGAGGTGGTGGTTGCTATAGTAGTTAGAGGGCTGTTGCTTTTCGCAGCCCGGAGAGGTGGGATGGACTCGGTGGATGGGGGTGGGGAGAGGTGGGTGCGATCCGGCCGGGCGCCCCTCCGAGCCTCCAGCTGACCAGCCCCGGAGGCCAGGGCGGCCACCTCGGCCCGTCCCTGCGAGCCAGGGTCTCCGACTGGCGTCGCGCCCACCTCGTCCTCCGGACGGGGGGATCTAGCCACGCCGGGCCTCGCAGCCGTCCCCGGAGTGAGTGGGGGTGGGGAGAGGCCTGGGCAGAGCTTGGCCTCAGGACCCGCGTCCCGGTGGAAGCACAGCAAAGGGGAAGCCGTCTCCTTGGCCTCTCCTCTGCTGGGACCGCGGGAATCACCCCAAAACCCCGCTCTCACGGGCGGGGCGGCGGGGCTGCGGGGCCGCCGGGACGGTTTGAGGACGGGGCTCGGCCGGGGAAGACACCAACCTTCACCCTCCCCGGCCCCCGACCCGACTCCCCGCCGTCTCCCGGAGCCGCCTCTTCGGGCAGCCCACTCGGCCCGGCCTCTCCCCGCGCCCGGACCACCCCCCATGGGGTGCTCTCACTGCGCAGCGAGTCCCTCCGCTGCCTCCTCCCAGCCCAAAATGGCGGCGGCGGCGGCCACCGAGCTGCTCGTCGCCTTCCTCAAAGCTAGGGATCCCTCCGCGCGCAAGCCCCGCCCCGCCCCGCCGGACCTATTTTTCTCCCTGGTGAAGACTAACGCCATCAATGAACTCTTTTAATTGAGTTCTGGCAGGGCGGGTCTAAGTTGTGCTTCCGCACGGCTAGTTGTTGACAAAAGTGGGGAGATTGACAGACGGGGGACCCAATCAAAGGAGAGACTGGTGAGCGCGGGAGGTCCACGCAAAAGCAGACGGGGTTGGGCGTGCCTGGGTCCGGGTATTGACGTAAGGGAGCGTGAAGGTATCCTGGGCAGCGTTCCTAGCGGGGAAGAACTACAACCCCCAGCAGTCATTGCGCTGCCAGGCTGTCCTCTTCGTCCGCCCCCCCCCCCCCCATCTCCCCCCATCTTAGTGCCTGAGCGGCTTGGCCAGAGCTGCTGCTACTGCAGCAAGAGGTAGGGCTGAGGCGTTGAGAATTTCATGGACAGGCGGTCGCACAGAAAGACACACAGAGGTAGTGGTGTACACTAAGCCCTTGACAGCAAATAGGTCAGTCCCACCTTTGCTAAAACCTCCCTCCCATGACTATTCCTCCTCTTCCAAGAAATCCATTTTTTACCCCATTTGATTTTCCCTGGCAGCTGCATGTAGTCTGAAGACTTCTGTCCTCCATTTCCCCGTCCCCTGAGGCAGGAGGGTAGCCATCCAGGCCCTGTAGACAAAAAGACTTAGCCTGTAGGTTCTGTCCAGGTCCCAGCCTGGAGAGCTTGAAGGCGGTCAAGACCGGCTTCCAGGAGCCGCAGACTCACCCTGTCCCCCAGCTTCCCCAAGCAGCTTCTACCTCACTGTCGAGGGGGGAAAATCTTAGGCCTACCTTCCTAACTGCCAGCCTGGTCTTCACTTGTTAGGAGCATGGAGGCCTGGGGCCCGAGGAACAGGATCAGGGAGATGGTCTCTCTGTCCCATTTGACCCTTTGCTGGCTAGAGGTGTGAAAACTAGGGTGTGGAAGCAGCCTTCGGGGCCTTCCTCTGAAAGTGAGGGCGAGCAGGTCTGGGGCCACAAAATGGCTGCTGCTGCTCGGGCAAGCAATTCCTGACCAACCAGATTCTGCCCGAGGACTTAGGTTTCTGTTGTTGTTCAAAGCAGGTGATGCTAGTTAAAAGCATCTACTGAAAGAGTAGGAGAAGATGGCCACTCTGAACCATGCCAGCTCTAACACAGACTCACCAGCAGCCCTGGAGAAGGCGAAGGTAAGTACCCACCCCTCCCAGCCATCTGAGAACCCTAAACATGGGGTCAAAGAAGCCAAAATCTTAGTTTTTTTTGTTTCAAATGTGCTGGTAGATTTAGAAAACCGGTATCTTTTATTTTATTTCTGTTGTTTGTGATGTGGGGGTGGGTCTTTCTATGTGTCCCCAGCTGGCCTCGAACTTGCAACAACACTCTTGCTTTAGCCTTACCAGTGGTGAAATTACAGCCCGCACCACCACACCCAGCTAGAAAGCCAGTGTTTTAAATGAGTCTTGCACTGAGCTCTGGGAAGTAGGCCAGAATGTGACTCAGTGGTATCTCATGAATTCCTAAAAGCCCTTCAAGGTAGGAATCGCTTCCGATTGTCAGAAGCTAAAGCTCTGAGGGCTGCAGTAACTTTTCCAGAATCGTGCAGCCTATAAGCAGCAAAATTCCAGTTTAAACTCAGTGTCTTCTGGTAAGAGAACCTTGCCTCTCACTTAATGACAAGTCACTTCAAGGTCAAATAACTTGGTTGTATATTTGCACTTTTCTTTTTCCAGGCTGAGAACCAAGAATGAAACAGGAAAAAAGTTTTTGGTCTAAAGGGGATGAGGGGTAGGCAGGAAAAACTCAGAGGGGAGAAAGATCCTAAAGCCCCCAGGAAATGGCACTTTATGGGCTGGACAGGAGCCCACAGGGCCCCAGCTCATGCTCTTCTCTCATTACCCACGCTTCCAAAATATAGAGAGGCGCGACTCAGAGAGCTGTTTTGTTGTTGTGGGTTTTGCATTGCTGGGATTGAACCCAGGACCTTGCAAATGCTAGAAGAGGGCTTTATCCCTAAGCTACATCTCAGCCCTGTGCGGTTTGCTGGTTTTTTTGTTTGTTTGTTTTGTTTTGAGACAGGGTCTCTCTATGTAACAGCCTTGGCTGTCCTGGAACTGGTTTTGTAAACCAGGCTGGCCTCGAACTCAGAGATTTGCTTGCCTCCACCTCCCAAGTGCTGGCATTATATGTGTGTGTCATAATGCCTGGCTCAGAGAAGCTTTTGACCCATCCTACCTAGCCATTTCCAGGATTTCTTAGACTTTGAAATTCATGGCATGTCAAGGCTAGAAGGTTCAGAGAGGACGAGAGGGTGACTCATGCAGGTTACAGAGGTTCCTTTAAACAGTGATCATGGCGGTAGAGGGACAGCATGGAGACAGCAGGTTAAGCTGAGGGACAGAGCTGGTTTGGGGCAAGAATCACGAGGGGACTGAGGGCTGGGAACAGGTAAATGATTGTGAGCATACAAATAAGCCATCCTGTATTTGTATGTCCAGTACTTCGTCTCTCTAGGATGGGCAACAGATCATGTTAGTTGGCCCAAGCCACCTGTGGGACGAGGCCAGTCACTTATGACTGGTGATCTTCCTGCAGGTGAAGGAACACAAGAAGCAATTCATAACATCTCTCCACCCCCGAAATCCCCTTAGGGTCTTTAAACCACACAGTAAGACAGGCAGCATATGTGTAATCCCAGCACTCAGGAGGTTGGGGCAGGAACGCTGAGGCTTGGAGACCAGATTGGGCTACAGAATGAGTTCCAGGCTATCCTGGGCTACCAAGTGAGACTGCTTCCCAAACAACCCTCCCCAAAAAAAACAATCCATCAACACCTGTATATATTCATATACTATACCCCTGCTCTTAAAAGGCTGCAAATAGTTTGTCCCCCAGTGTAAACCCTAAAATCCCCTCCTACTCAGAGGCCAGCAAGATGGCTCAGCAGGTAAAATACTTGCACCAAGCCTGACAACCTGAGTTCAACCCCCAGGATCTACATGGTAGGAAGGGGAAACCAACTCCCATATTATCTTCTGACCTACACACACACACACACACACACACACACACACACACACACACACACACTCCAGCCATGTCATTAGAGTGTGTCTGTACACACACAAAGAAGGTAAATGTAATCAAACTTTAAAAAGGGACCCCTGCTCAGATGCCGTTTGTACTGTATAAAACAGCATGCCCATGACTGTGGTTATTATTAGAAATCTCCTAAACCACAAACTTAGAGTAATTTGTTCGCTATCCCCAACACCCAGGACTCCCACCCTCACCACACAGATAAGCAGATGCCTTTGTGGAAGGCATCTCTTCTTCCCTCCCCTCCCCTCTCCCAAGGTCTCCTAGTATAGCCCTGGCTGGCCTCAGACTTGACAGGCTGGCCTCAAACTGAGGGATCTCCTTGCTCCGTCCAGAAGTGCTGGGATTGACAGATGCTTTCTCTACCTCTTCAAAGTTCCAGAATCTCCTCGCAACCTCTCCTTGGTTAGGACCTTCTGCTGCTTCTCACATAAAGAGAGAAACAGACTCATGTTTACTGAGCATAGGGCAGAATGGCACATTCTCAGGGGATGAAGATTTACAGTAAACAGTAATGTGTTAGGTGCTGTCTGTGATGTTGCTTGTGTGGCATGATAGAGTAGCTGGGGAGGGGAGGGAGGGAGGGAGGGAGGCGGGCAGTTTCCATAGGGTCTTCATGGGGAGCATCACTTCACAGTCCGCATTAGAACTGAAACGGGAAATAGAAAGGACCAGCCGTGCAAAGAGCTGGAAGCAGGTTTAGTTCTCTAGTTTTCGGGGAGGGGGTAGAGAATCCCTTTTCCAAAGTTAGTAAGTTCAGACCCTGGCCTGGTAACACAGGCTTATAATCCTAGCTACTCTGGAGGCTGAGGCAGGTGGATTATAAATTCAGGACTTGCCTGGGAACAGAATGAGTTCAAGTTCAGCCTGGAAAACTAAGTCAAAGGGCTGAGAATGTATCTGCGTGACATTGCTCCTGCCGACCACGTCTAGGACTCTGGCTTCAACAAAGTTATTGAGTTCACAGCTAGTTCTAGTGTCATACACCTGTTACTACTCCCAGCTCCTTGTGAGACTGAGGCAGGAGGATGGTGAGTTTGAGGCTAGCCTGGGTTACACTAGGAAGACCTCAATTTCAAGGAGAGCAGAGCATTAAACCAAGTATAAATCCCATCTGAATGTGGGTAGCTGTGAAGGTGTTGAGGTAGCCCAGGCTGTCCCTGAGCCTGGCTTGAGGTCCTGATCCTCCTGGCTTCACCCCACCCCCTCCTGCTGGGATTTACAGGTGTAGGCTCCCACATCTAGCTTCCCTAGCTCTGCTTTGAATAGTCCATGTGGAATGCCTGCTCTAGGTCTGGTGTGGTTCTGGACATTTAAATGGGCAGTGATGAGCTGGAGGAGGATGCTCAGTTCACGGCTACCCAGCAGGCGTGAAACCCTGGATTTGATCCCCAGCACTGCATAAACCAGGCTTGGCGGCATATGTCTATAATCCAGCATTCGGGAGGTGGAGGCAGGAAGATCAGAAGTTCGAGGTCATTTTGGTTGCACAAATGAGTTCAAAGCCAACCTGGTCTATGGAGATGCTATGTCAAAAAGAAAAAGGAAAAAGAACTGACCAGTGACAGTGCAGTAGTCACTGGGAGACAGGTAACTAAGTAAATTGTAAGAGGGTGAGGGACTGGAGAGTGACCACTTGAGGCAGGTGTGAGAAGGGGGCTGGGTGGGCTGGGAAGGATTCTCCTCCCAGGGAAAGGCTCTCACCCTCGCCGTCCTTCCTCTCTCTAGACCCCTGGTGGTCTGCCGAGCCCCCAGATAGCCAGTGAGCCGCATGACTTCCGAGGTCCCCTGCTTCTGCCATCAGGAAAGGAGGTTGACTCGGAGGATGAAGGCGTCGCTCCAGCTGGGGGTGCCTCAGGTTGTAGCAGCAGGGCTTCTCGGACCCAGAGCCCCCGGCCCTGTTCGGTGGAGGCGGTGCTGGCCCGAAAGAAGCACCGCAGGCGGCCGTCAAAGCGCAAGCGGCATTGGCGGCCTTACCTGGAGCTGAGCTGGGCCGAGAAGCAGCAGCGAGATGAGAGGCAGAGCCAGAGGGCCTCCCGGGTCCGCGAGGAGATGTTCGCCAAAGGCCAGCCCCTGGCTCCCTACAACACCACCCAGTTCCTCATGAACGACCGAGACCTGGAGGAGCCTGACTTGGACGTGCTCCACGGGCCATCGCACCCAGGCTCCAGCGGGGAGAACGAGGCAGGGGACAGCGATGGGCAGGGCCGAGCTCACGGGGAGTTTCAGCAGAGGGACTTCTCGGAGGCCTATGAGCGGTACCACACCGAGAGCCTGCAGGGCCTCAGCAAGCAGGAGCTGGTGCGAGACTACCTGGATCTAGAGAGGCGGCTGTCGCAGGCCGAGCAAGAAACTCGGAGGCTCCAGCAGCTGCAGGGGCGCCCCGGCAGGCAACCCTGTCAACAGGTGGAAGAGCTGGCTGCTGAGGTGGAGAGGCTCCGGACTGAAAACCAGAGGCTCCGGCAGGAGAACGAGATGTGGAACCGAGACAGCAGCTGCTGTGACCAGGAGAAGCCAGCCACAGAAGGGACCCCCAGGCCCAAGGATGAGGCCCCATTTCATACCCAGGCAGGCCAGCTGGGTCACAGGGAGGCAGGTGACAGATGAAAGCTACTCCCCGCAACCCCTCCCTCCACTGAGAACTGCTAAGACAGGTCAGAGTTTCCTCTTGTCATCTCCATGATTGGGTCTTGGATGTCATCTTACCTTTTACAGAGGAATTAAATGACCTTGTGAGAACCAGTGGGGGTGGCTAGAATTGATTTCACGAGGGCTGTTCTTGAGACTCAAAATTCCTTTGTATTTAAAAAAAAACAACTTATTTTTATGTGTGTGGGTGTTTTGCTTGCGTGTATGGCTGCGCAGCACATGGGTGTGGTACCAGTAGGAGCCAGGAAAGGGCATTGGATCCCCTTGGGACTGGGGTTACAAACAGTTGTGAGTTGCCATGTGGGTGCCGGGAACCGAACCTGGGTCTCTAGAAGAGCAGTGTGTGCTCTTAACCACCGAGCCATCTCTCCAGCCCTCTTCATTTTCTGGAGTTTGTTTGTTTATATTCTGGAAGAGTCTCATAGCTGAGGCCGGCCTTGAACTTCGGACCCTTCTGTATTCACCTCCCGAGTTCTGATATACCGGATGTGCACCTCAATGCCTGGTTTTGGCTGGGCTGTGCATCCAATGCATGCTAAGCAGGAACTCTACCAACTGAAGCACACCCCAGCCAAAATCCTTCTGTTGAGGCTGAAGAGATCATGAGTCAGTGGTTAAGAGACCTCACTGTTCTTTTAGAGGACTGGAATTTGGTTCCCTGCATCTATAGATGACTCACAACTGTCTGTAACTCCAGCTCCAGAGGATCTAATGCCGGCTTCTGACCTCTGTCACAACTACACACATGAATGTACGTGCATATACACATATAAACACATAAGTACAAAATCCTAAAACAAAAAAAAACTTGTGGGCTGGGGATATAGGTTAGTGGTGGTAGTACATTGGCCCAGCATTCTGGAAGCATGGAGTAAACCCAGTCCCAGAGAGGTCTCAGTTTCCCCTTGTCCAAGCCTGAAGAGACAGCCAGCTTCTAGATGGGTTCCCATTGGTTCTCCAGGATACCCAAAGCACACTCTGAGTCTTGGAGCAGTGATCCTGAGGGGTTAGAGGTTGGGGGCAGGTGATGGGACCTCAGTCGGGAGCCCCCAGGTTCAGCCAGAACCTGACATTCCAGTTGCCGCACGATAGTGGGACTGGGAACAGTGCCTGTAATTCCGGCCTTCGGGCAGGAGGGTCACAAGTTTGAAGCCAGCCTGTGCTACAGAATGAGACCCTCCTGGAGGAGCTGGAAGCCTCCCTGGGAGGAGAAAGCTCAAGCCTGGAGTTGGTTCAGACGTTGTTCCCAGGTTCCCCCACCACGCTTCAGAGGGCTGAGCCTCCTTGGTCTTGACAGTCCCTCACCCTGGCTTCCAGCCTAAGCTAGTCATTAGAGTTCATCCCCTTACCTCTGGGAGGGACACTTAGAAATAAGCACCCAAGATCCACTGCTGGCAGATAAAGCCATAAGGTAGAGGGGACAGGAAGTGGATCCTTAGCTGAGCTTGTCTGTAGAGCCTTCCTGCCGTCTCCCTTGGCATCCTCCTCCTGTTGGCCTAATTAAGTGTGTGATCAATTCGCTGTGAAGTATGAGCCATAGGCCTGACTCCACGATGGAGTGGGAGGGGGGTTAGTGTAGAGAATGCAGTGTGCTCCCCACCTCTGAGGTGGGTACCATCCCTGTGTCATCTCTGCCTGGTGCTGAGGATGACTTCAGTGGTGCCAGGGGAATTTAGCTCACCAGTGAGTCCCTGTCTCAGGCACCAGGCACAGAGAGGAGCAGAGACCTCAAGGACATAGCCTCCTTTCCCTTCCAGAGGTTTGGAACGACCCCATTGGCCAAGGGAAGGGCTCAGGACTGGGAACTGTTAGGATGGAAATGTTGACAAACCCTGTGTATTGCCAGGACAACTTTTATTTCTGTACGGCCACACCCAGGCCTGGCCAGCACCTTCTACAACAGACTGGAGGGAGGAATTGGTTTCAAGGGAAAGCAAAGCTCCAGGCTGAGGCATCTGTCCCCAGAATCCTGGTCAGAGGTTTTGCCTCCTTTTCTTGTATTCCCAGACAGTTGGCGGGAATGATCGTCCCCACTTTGCAGATGGGAAACCCAAGTTTCAGAGAGGAAGTGACTCTCCAGATTCCAGGATAGCTTACCTCCCCTGGGGGGGGGGGGGGGGGGGGGAGCTGCAGTAGACTAGCCTGGGTCCCATGGCCTGCAGCCTCCCAGCTGCTGCATTCCACAGAACAGAGCCAGGAGCTGAGGGAGGACCAGGACAAGGTTGTTTACCCAGAGGCAAGGAGGCTCCGTGTGTGTGTGTGTGTGTGTGTGTGTGTGTGTGTGTGTGTGTGTGTAAAACAAGGAGGGGGAGATTCCAAAGGGCTGCTGGTGTGTGGGGGGAGGTTTGTGGAGCAGGGTGTGGGGTGGTCCATGTGTGGCATGACGGCACGTTGCTGGGCAAAGGGCAGGTGAAGAGGCTGGCCCCTCTTGGTCTAAGCTGAAGAGCTGAGGAGTGTGAGGAAGACAGGAAAGCTGCCAGCCATCTCCACCCCCTCACATACACACAAAATGGCTGGAAGGCTCTTGGCCAGGATAGCCAGAGGCGAATTAATTTCCCCAAGGCTAGCAGAGTGTGTGTGTGTGTGTGTGTGTGTGTGTGTGTGTGTGTGTGTGTGTGTTGGGGGGATGACAATGGACAGGGTGGAGCAAGAAGAAAACAAAGCAAGGGTGTGATCTCGGCAAGGGTCAGGCTTGGGGAGAGTCGCAGCAACTCTGGCCTCCAGCTGGTCCCCCAGTCTCAGGGTCAGCAGTGTTAGAAGAGGAAGCCATCTTGAGAATGCAGTACTAGGGAAAGATGGAGGCCAGGTGTGAGTCCCCTTCATGTGCCCCCCACTTTCTCTTCTGCTGCTCTCCTTGGCAGCCAGATATGGAGGTCTGGACTCTCTACGCCGGTGTACACCAGCGGCCACTTCCTCACAGCCACAGCTGGGAACACTGGCTTTCAGAACAAAGCTCAGTGGCCTGCTTCCCCCTGATCTCTTGATTACTGGGCCAGGAGAGGTCTGCAAAGCAGTTCTTCATGGGACTGCTGTGGAAGCGTCCCACCATGCCTGCTTGCCTGCCTGCCCGGCCGGATCTCTCTCTCTCCTCTCTGTCAGGGACTCTGATCCCAGGTGGCAATTCCAGTACCCCTTAGGCAGACCCTTTCTGCAGTGGAATCAATTCTGAAAGGTAGTAAAACGGGCAGAGGGGATGGGGTGGGTCTAGAGGAAGCATTGTGGATGGAAGGAAGGAACTCAGAATGGGAGAGCAGCTGGTTCTGTTGTCCCTCTTGAGAACAGCAAGCTTGGCACTGGCCCTTTAAGTGGGGGTGCCAGCCAGTGCCCTCCCCCAGCCAACCCAATTCATGGGCACACTGAGCATGTGCAAGATCTGTGCAAGTGAGGAGGGGAGGAGGTGGGGGGGGGATAGATTCCGGAGGGAGCTTCCCACCCCCTACTTCCTGTAGCTGCCCCCTCTCTCCTTCCTGGGTCTGACAAAGGAGCCCATGGTGCTTCCTCAGTCCCTTCCCCCACCCCAACCTAGGGGGCGCTGCCCTCTGGGTCTGCTGAGCTACCAAGGGTTCTGGGCAGGCCCTCTGGTCTTGGGAGGTCTCCCCAGTGCCTGGAGGTGGTGAGTGCCAGTCTGACTTCTCTGGTGTGGGCAGTGGCCAATCTTCTGCTGCTTAACGTGTTCGATCTCATTCCATCGGTGCCAGGGTTTTGTTTTGTTTTTTGTTTTTTAAGAGAACCCTGGGATGTTGCTCTGGAAATGAAACAGAAAGGGGTGAGGTCCCTGCCCCCACCCACCAGGAGCTTCCAGTCAGGGAGGGGAAGCAGACACCTGGGGTTCTCCTTACAGCCTATTAGCCTGGTCCAGAGGATGGAACTCAGCTTCCTCTACCTGCAACATCCAGCATCCTCCCCTACCATGGAGAAATATCCCCTCCAGCCTCCCCACAACCTCGAACTCGTTTCTGTAGCATCCTCAGACCTCAGCTCCTCCTGTGCACTCGCAATCCCTGCTCCTTCCTCTAATCTTGGGACTTGTAGGTACCATTATCTTTCGTTAAATCCACGGGGAGAGCTGGGGATGTAGTTCAGTTGGTGGAAGGCTTTCTTAGTGTGCACGAAGCCCTGGGTTCGATCCTCAGCAGCACATAAACCTGGATAGTGACTGATACTTGTCAGGGTTACAAGGTCAAGGTCATCCATCTTTATGTAAAAACCTTGTCCCAAAAAAGCGAAGATGGGGGAGCCAGAGAGATGGCTCAGTGCTTAAGAGGGCTTGCTGCTCTTCCAGAGGGACCAAATTCAGATCCCAGCTCCCATGTTGAGTGGGTAATAGCTGTCTGTACTTCAGCTCCAGGAGCGCGATCCGACACCCTCTTCTGGCTCCTGTGGGTACCTGCACGCACGTCGCCCCCCCCCCTCTCTCACTCTCATACACACAGAGCAAAAATACATGGTAAGATTATATAACATGAAATGTACTATTCAAATGAGCAATTCAGTGGCATTTCCATTCATAATGTATACATCCCAGCACCCCACTACTAACTGATTCCACACAGTTAAAATGAAGCCCTAAAACTATTAAGCAGTTATTCTCTCCCCCAGCCCCCCTGTTCTTAGCCAGCCCTGGACGCCACACACCTGCTTTCTGTGCCTGCGTGTGTGTCCTCAGCCTAGAGAGATTCTCAAATGTCTATAGCCATACCACCCTGAACATGCCTGTCACTTCCCCCTACATCTAGGCAAGAGACTGGATGCCCATACCCAATGTATAGTCTCCCTAAGGCTGCTGTTGAGGGAGGAGCACTGGACCAGGAGTCCTCAGCCCCTCGGTTGATTCCACTTCTATTCACAGAGACTGCTTTTCATTTGTGAGGTGCAAGCAGTCGTTTCAGCCCAGGCGGAGATCCTGGGCTCTCTAGGCAAGGCTATGCTGCCGGACTTGAAAAATATATCCCCCATCTTTTATCCTTCTGGGTCCTGACTGCAAGTTTAGGCAGTGACTGTGGCCTCAGGGACAGGGTGATTCATACTGTAAGGTTTGGGGTCAGTCCCTTGAGATGAGGAAGCCTTAGCACAGAGAGGTTGACAAAGCTGCC